ATCCAATCTTTACAATCCAAAATCCTTCGTAAAATCCTCAATGCTCCTTACTTTGTCACAAATAAAATAATCCATAAAGACCTCAATGTTCCATATGTTTCCGATTTGGCCAAATCCAGATACCAATCCTTCCATGATAAACTTCATAACCATCCGAATCCTCTTGTTTCTAACCTTGCTTCCTCTTCGATTCCTGATAACCCTCCGAGGCGTCTGAAAAGGAGATGGCCTCGTGATCTCCTCATGTAGACAAATAATTAGAGTGCTACCAATGGGTAGTTTCTCAACAAGCGTGTTTCATGTGATAATATTTCTCTGTACACATTTACTTGATGTATTCATACTAATACAGTTGTAAATATCATAATAAAAGTTAAAAAAAGTTCAACACACAAGAAAGTGTTTGGGAAGCTTAACACTAGGTAGGAAAGTAATAATTAAAAAAAATGTGTAAAAAATAGAATAAGCTGTATCATCGCTAATACTGGTTCGATTCCGATGTTTTATTTTTTGTTTTGTTGGTAAATTAACATAAACCTTTAAAAAGCTTTATTATAAATTTTACCGTATAATATATACTTAGCGAGTTAGGCCCCATAAAAGTTTTCTTCTCTTTATAACTTTTTTTTCTGAATTTTGTCGGGAATTTAGTCCATATACGAAAATTGAAAGGACAATGATTAGAACACTATAGGAAAGTTTAATCGAAATCGTTAGGGCCGTTTTTGCGCTACAGTCTATAGAAAATCGTGTTTTTCATTTATTGCGCGCAAGCTATTGCGCATGGAGCACCGAATTTCTGTCACAGGCATCGGTAGTCAAAACGCTACAAAATAAAAAAAGAAGCAACGAAATCGGACTCAATCGAATGTCCAAAAGAATAAACTAATATAGAATGGAAATCATCCGAATCCTCTTGTTTCTAACCTTGCTTCCTCTTCGATTCCTGATAACCCTCCGAGGCGTCTGAAAAGGAGATGGCCTCGTGATCTCCTCATGTAGACAAATAATTAGAGTGCTATCAATGGGTAGTTTGTCAACAAGCGTGTTTCATGTGATAATATTCCTATGTACACATTTACTTGATGTATTCATACTAATACAGTTGTAAATATCATAAAAAAAAAGGTGTTAAATAGAGAAAAGAGACCCTAGAGATTCTAAACGCCAAAGACGTTTGCAACTATAATAATTATGGTGGCATAAGCCAAAAAGGACAAAACTTTCCTTAGCTATGTCCATTACTGGTGCGCTTAACCTATAGCCTAGATTATTAATCTCTTCTTTTCTAATATTGTTTTTATTTTCACTGTTTCCATAATTGTCTCGTTTTTGTTTATAGGAGCATTTATTTTTATTTTTTTCTTCTTCTTCCGGTGCCTCTCGGCGATAAAGATTTTTGAACGATACTTTTACCACTTATCTTCTGGTTCTTCGGTCTTCGTTAGTGGAGGTTGAAATGATCATTCTCTACCAATTCTTTTCATCCGTACACGAATGGTTCTTATTACGGGTAGTTATCCTTTCTTTTATCAACATATTCAATTTTAGTAAAATACTTTGTCTTACATTATCTTTTCTTATATTTATTTTGGACGATTGAGCAATGTCTTATTATGGTAGTTTCGAAAGATGTTTGATGGAAGTGTCAAAGCAATTCTACCGAATCCATTACTACGTCTTATCAATATTGTTCAAATAAATTTACTTTGACGTCTAGTTGGACATCTCAATTGAATATATATAATATTTCAGGCCCAAATATTTACCTTTCGATGACGGTACTTTAAGAAATTAGTAAGAAGAACTGGAAGATCACTATATATGTTTAATAAAATTGTTTGTTTTTTTAACCCTGTGCTCGAAATATCCTAAAACATTTGTCTAATGGATTTTATTGATTAATATGAGCATAGTAACAAAACTGTTGTCCTTAAAAATAATCATATGGATTTCTTGCAAAATCTTAATAATGTTTTTAACCTTTAACGCGCATAGCATGATTGTGTTGTCTAATATTAATACGACAGTTGAAGATTGCAGATATCGATAAAATTAAATATTGACGAGAATCATTTTATATAAGTGATATTATGTAAAGTGGTCCGTTTCATTTCAACCCACCTCATTTCAATGAAATATTAATTATTAATATGCAAAGCCGGCTCAAATATTAAAACTAAGAAGATCATAAATCCCACTGAAACCATACTTGGACCCGTGCGAACCATGATCTTAAACAACAAAAGCACTTATCCTCTCACTTACGACAAAATATGCCTATTACTCGACATGACTCAGGGAGAAAATGAATCAAACGCTACTGATATCATGTCTCAGTTTACAAACAATGGAAACGGTCTGAAAACAATGCTCTCAGATATCAGAGACACAGTATCACATAGAGGGCTAAAAATCAGAATCTCAAAACTAATAAAGATGTTTAATGAGCACTCCTTGAACACTACCGAGCATGTAAAAATAACACATGGTGATAACAATAATCTGGGAAATAAGAAACACTTTGCCAATCAAAATGAAAACAATCATTAAATGGAATTGCAACAGATGTTTCCGACATTTAGAGCACCTAAAAATGACAATAAGCGAAGAGAACCCTATACTAGTTTGTCTCCAAGAAACACACTTACAAGAAACTCAAACAGTGAGATACAAAGATTACGATATATACCGAAAAGCAAAAGATTGTCATGGGAAGACTTCGTATCTTCATTAAATCAAAGCATTTCAATGAAGGAGCTCTGGAATAAAGTGAAAAGCATTAAGGGAATCTCCAAAACAAAGAAATTGCCTGGTATAAAGAGTGGACAAGACATTATAACTGACCCTGACGAAATCGTTAACGAAAGTGATAAAACTCTGCAACAGAATGTAATTTAAAGGCGTTGCCAATGACCCTACAGGGTTGAGGCAACAAAATACCAAATAAATAAATAAATAATTATTAATAAATATTATTTTTCACAGCAGTATTAATTATTAATTAATATTAATTTCCACGAAAGTATTAATTATTATTTTTTACTATTTTTTTTTCTTCATATTTCCATCCACATTTGTCATAAGCTTGACAATAACCAGATGTACTGTAACTAATAAAAAAAAATTAAGCATGAGGAAAAAGTACTCAGCAGCACTTCTTTCTGGTCTTGATTTATTTCCTTAATTCAGGAAAGGAGATCTCTCATACAGTCCGTTGTGATATCCGTGTAGTTTGAGATGAAATCTGGAGTAGAGATCGCATATGAGTTGGTCGATAGTTGGTTGTCGTAAATCGTTATGTAAAGTTTTGTTGTTTACGTACCAATGAGCTCCTATTACAAGTCGTAAAATTTTGGATTGAAATGTTTGTAGTTTTTGTAAGTGTAATTATTAATTAATATTAATTTTCACAGCAATATTTATAATTAATATAAGTATCATGAACTAATTACTATGCTACAATCTTACTACTTCTAAAAAAACTCAAATAAAAGAAATAAGCGTCCTACATTTCAATTTTAATAAAATTGTTGCTCAATCATCAAATAGATGGAAACATTGCTAAGAAAAAAGCTATATTAATTTTAATCAGAAATTAATGAAGAAAAATATATATATATATATATATATATATATATATATATATATATATATATATATATATGTATAAAAAAAATGCTGCTTCTGAAAATTTTCCATAGTCTGCAAAATTGTAAAGAAAATTTAAAACCAACTGTCCTGACAAAGCATGTTACATAGTGTAGCTTTAAAGCATTCCCATCACCATGTTACATAGTGATGTTCCTACGATCATACTAGTAAGGGAATAAAATTAATAAACCGTAATGATAATTATAAATAATTACATAGCAAATAATTAAATAAATAAATTACAAAACAGTTAAATCAACTAATAATTAAGATTTAAAAAATTCGGTACTTTCTTCATTTAGATTGTGTTCACGAGAACTCTGGGCAATTTCTTCAGACTTTCTTCACTGACCGAAAGAGTAGCAGGGAAGATGAAAAGATTATAAGAGTGGATTCAGATGGTTAAGAACGAAAGACACAAATGTGGTGTAGTTTCATGTATGTACGATTTTGCCGTTGGTATGTACATTTCTTTGTGTACGGTGTGATTTGAAATTAATATACATAAGATACTTTTACAATTTTTTGAAAGATTTTTGTTTGTCCGTTTTGTATTGGAGCGTATTATATATAGAGCAAAATTTCTAATCCGTATTAAGAACATGTCTTATTAGTGATATGGATTAGTAGCTTGTTTGGTAACTAGGGATATCAGATACGTAAAGAGAAAAGAGAAAAGACTTAAACACTAAGAACTAAGAAAAGACTTACGAACATGTCTTATTAGTGATATGGATTAGTACCTTGTTTGGTAACTAGGGATATCAGATACGTAAAGAGAAAAGAGAAAAGACTTAAAACACTAAGAACTAAGAAAAAACTTACGAACATGTCTTATTAGTGATATGGATTAGTACCTTGTTTGGTAACTAGGGATATCAGATACGTAAAGAGAAAATAGAAAAGACTTAAAACACTAAGAACTAAGAAAAGACTTACGAACATGTCTTATTAGTGATATGAATTAGCACCTTGTTTGGTAACTAGGGATATCAGATACGTAAAGAGAAAAGAGAAAAGACTTAAAACACTACTACCTCGTGGCACGTCCGTAATATAAAAATAGAGGAATCAACATCAAACAGAAAAGAACTTCTCAAGAAAGAAAGATTGAAGTTGAAGTATACAATTTCAAAAGCAATACAAATTAAAGTTAAGTTTACATTAAAAAAAATTATACTTTTGTATTTATCTTTAAGTTTATTTACGCACAAAAGTGGGAGCTCCGAATATAACCTTGCCTCTATATTGGAGGGCAAAGCAGGGCTCAAGAAGATCGCTTCGCTTCTCTCTCTAGTGTGTTTCTAATGATTACGTAATGCAGGAATTCAGGTATGAAGACTTACCAGCCCGATGAAGATGCAAAAGAGTTGGATGACGTCGGTGTAAGCGACACTGTAGAGTCCTCCAAAAAGTGTGTAGAAGACAGCTATGCATGAACTAAAAACAACTGCTGTGTCGTGGTCCATGTCGATTATAACACTCAGTGTAGCTCCTGTAAAAGAAAGGTTTAATTGTTTAAATTTCTTTATTGAGTATTATAACAATCTGTCTGTTGGACATTGGTTATAGTGAGGTAGGATGACATTCACACCATATGTACAAAAAAATAAAATAAATAGAACAAAATAATAATCAAAAGTATATACAATAGACAATAAAATAAAATAACCTAAAAAATAAGAAAATTAAAACTAAGGAAAAAAAAAATAACATGCATACCTATATACAATCAGGCGAGGGAACTCCAGGAGAACCCTGCGCTACTCTTCCAACCGCGTCACTGGTACTAAAGCCAGCGGAGATTGGTCGAGAGCACTTTAGCCACATACACACATGTCTTGAGTGAAGAATCTGGCCATTGCCAGAACTCCAATTTATATAATTACAAAAGGTCGCGAGGCCACTGCCGTTTCAACCTTCTTGGAGGATTATAGGGATGGGAGATGCTTGATAGGGATTGTGCAAGAGGATTTGGGTGGTAAGTAAGGTTCTGGTGAAATTTGGAGAATTTTCTGGGATAAGGTCTAGGACAAATGGGATGTTAAGGTCATGATGTAGGGTTTTGTTGGATACATAGAAAGGAGCATCGACTATTGTTCGAAGGACTTTAGACTGGAAGGATTGGATGCGCTTGATGTTAGAAAATTTTGCTGATCCCCACAGTTCTAGTCCGTAAGTCCAAATAGGTTTCAGTATTGTCTTGTAGATCAGTAGCTTGTTTTCAATGGAAAGTTTAGATTTTCTGCTTAGTAGTCGGTATAGTTGGCCGTATCGTCGGTTGAGTTCTTGTCTTTTGAGTCTAGTATGCGGGTTCCAAGTTAGTCTTCGGTCTAAATGAAAGCCAAGATACCGGACTGTGTCTGAATAAGGAAGCTGGATGGAATTAAAGAGTACTGGTGGACAGGAATTGCGTCGGAGTGTAAAGGTAATATGTTGGCATTTAGATTCATTAACTTTAATGCGCCAGTTATTACACCAGTGCTCAATCAAGGTGAGGTGACTTTGGAGATTTAAGGATGCTATTTCGGGATCAGAGTTGGATGATAAGATTGCGGTGTCGTCAGCGAATGTTGCAAGAAAAGTATCGGGATGAACAGGGATGTCAGCAGTAAAGAGGATGTAAAGCACGGGACCCAAGACGCTGCCTTGGGGAACACCGGCTTTAACGGAGTAGATATTGGAAAATTCTGTTCCACAGCGAACTCGAAAGGAGCGGTCAGAGAGGTAGGATCGGAGGACTAGGTACAAGGACTGAGGTAAATGGATTTTAAGCTTGGAGAGCAGTCCGGAGTGCCATACCCGGTCAAATGCCTGTGCAATGTCCAGAAAGGCACCCGAACAGTATTCCTTGTTTTCTAGGGCTGAGGAAATATGATCAACAACTCGGAGTCCTTGTTGAACAGTAGAATGTTGAGAGCGAAAACCAAACTGATGGGAAGGGATATTTTGGGATTCTATAATGGGTAGGATTCGTTTCAAAAGGATCTTTTCAAAAATTTTTGAAAGGATTGGGAGTAGGCTGATTGGTCTATAGGATGTTGAGCTATTGAGAGGTTTTCCTGGTTTTGGGAAAAGGATAATAGTGGAGTGTTTCCATAACAGAGGGAAGTGGGTGGTGCGTAGGATACAATTGTAGATATATGTAAGGAATATGACTGCTTTGGATGGAAGTTGTCGAAGGATTTGAGGTGTAAGGAGATCATGTCCAGGAGCTTTACGGAGGATTAGTTTTTTTAATTGAAATTTTACTTCGGAAGGATGAATAGCTTTTGGGGGCAAGGAAAGTGGGATTGGTGATGTAAGGAGTTCTTCTACTGTTACGGTGTGGGCAGGATGGGATTCCGGATGTGAAATAAATGTATTGGATAGGTGAATGGCGAACTCCTCAGCTTTATCTTCGTCAGATGCTGCCCAGGAGCCATCACCTCGTCGGAGAGGATGGGAAATGCGGTGAGGATTTAGGATTTTTGTTGTGGTTTTCCAAAGGGAATTGTCGCGAGAAGAGAGGGAGGATAGGTAGGAGTTGAAGGATTGTGATCTGAAGGTGGCTAATTCCAGTTTTAATTGTTTGCAGTAGTAATTATAGGAGCAGCGGTCGGTAGGATGTCGGGTACGTTGCCATAATAATCTGGCACGGCGTTTGGTGCGGATTAGGTTAAGGAGGTGTTGGGGTAGAATGGTCTTTATAGGAATTCTGGAGGAGTCTTTTGGAAAGGAGGCAGTCCAGGCGGCTTGTTGGATTGTGGTAGTAAAGGAATTTACGGCACTATCAAGGTCATCGGGAGTTTTGAGGGATATGTTGAGATCAATATTATCGGAGATTATTTGGCGGAAAAGGTCCCAGTTTACTGGGCCCCTAATGAATGACGGTGGAGAAGGTTTGGGAACAGGTTCAAGTGAAACATTAAGGATTAGAGGACTATGGTCAGAGGAAAGTTCATTTAGACGTGTAATGGAACAATTGAGGGGACTTAAGCCGCTGTGGATAAAGAAATCAAGAAGATCAGGATTACGGTTGGGATCTGTGGGCCAGTAGGTAGGAGAGTTGGGGGAAAGGAGGTGAAAACGTTGGGAATTGAGTGCAGACAGCAGGGTTCGGCCACGAGAATTCGTGGTTCTGGAACCCCATTGTTGGTGCTTGGCATTTAGGTCTGCACCCAAGATGAAGTGATGTCCTAAGGAGTCGAGGAGAGAACTGAATTGGGCATTGGATATGGATCGGTTAGGAGGGCAATACGCTGATGCAAGAGTGACCGGAAAGGAGAAGGTTTTTATCACGATAGCGGTGGACTGTAGGAAATCATGTATTGGTAATGGGAGTACGTGATGGGAGAGGGATTGGTGTACAATTACAGCAGTACCGGCATGTGCTTTTCCGTCAGGGTGGTCAGTACGATATGTCAGGTATTGTGGTATATTGAAGTGCTGTTTAGTGGTTAGTCGAGTTTCAGTAATTAGTGCCACATCAATGTTCTTGTCAAGTAGTAAAGTAGATAGTTCGTCTGTATGATTTCTAACACCATTCGCATTCCAAAGGAGAATGGATATGGGTTTAGGGATGTGAGTCATTTAAGGATTTTTCAAAGGAGGGATGAGGTGAGATACGAGATTCGTGAGGAGTGATATGAGTGGAGTAACAAGGGATTTGAAATCGGTGAGGAAAGATGCTAACAAACTTGTGAGATCTGTTGCATTTGAAGGAGGAGGAATATGAGGAATTTGTTGTTGGTGGTTAGGTATATTAGGATGAAGAGGATTTTGAGGTTGGGTTTGAGGTTGTTGTTGTGGCAGGGCTTGACATTTATCGGTTAAAGTCTTACCTCTAAGTAGTTGGGAGAATGATACATCATTGTTTACAATTCTGGAAGGCTCTCTCTCTTTCTTGTTCTTAGTGCTTCATCTTGAATCCGGTTTTTCTGGTGTCTGGTTTTGAGATTCTTGTAAATTTGGCAGCCTTTGTAGTTGGCCGGGTGTCCCTCCAAGCATAGGGCACATACTGCTGGATCTTGTATAGGTTTGGTGCACTCTACAGATTTGTGCTGTTCACCGCACTTCACGCAACGCGGCAGATGGTGGCAATATGTCTTCGTGTGGCCATAGGTCTGACAATTATGGCACTGCACGATGTCTCTCTTGGGATATGGCTTCTCAACTTTCACCATTGTGTAGTATATTCTTGTGATATCATATATTTTTTCGATACCTGGTGATGGCTCCAAGTCCACGAAAAACAATGGTAGTGGGATCCTATTTCGTAATCCTGGCTGCTCCCTGTCCTCCTTCAAAACGTTTGTTACCTGGCGTACATTGAAACCAAGCGTCGTTAGTTCTTCTTTAATAACTTCAGTGGGGGTTGAGGAATGTAAATTTCTTATCACTACTCGTAAAGCTCTTTCCTGCCTCAGCTGGTAAGTGTGAAAATTCGCATTTGTTTCTGATAAGTACTTCACTATTTTTCGGTAGGCTTCTGCAGAATCAGGTGTTATTTTGGTGTCATTGGTCCTGTTAAGGCATGAATAACTGCCAGAGCAGATTTTATTTAGTTGGGTGCAGAACATCTGGAAATTTTTTATATTTTTCACAAATATCGGAGGAGGCTTTGGTTCTCTGGGTATTGCTGCAGACTCCATTACTTCTCTGTCATTTTGAAGCACTTGGTAGGGGTTTGGAGTAAAGAAAGGTGATTCTTCAATCGTTTCTTGTGCAGACGTACCTGGTTGGGGCTGAGGTTCTGGTTCTGAAGTGTTCATTTTGGTCACTGGAGGTATTTCTCGTAGGCAGCGACGAGTCCTTTGTTTGGCTGGTGAGCTAACTCCGTCTGACCGAGACCTCTTGGGCACCTTACTGGCCATCACTTGCTGATCATACCGCATATCATAAGAGAAAAATAAATAAATAAATAAAAAAAAAAAAAAATTTTTTTTTTTTTTTTTTAAAATAACAAAAAAAAAGATGCCAACAGTAAATATCAACTGCTCTGATATACACTTTAACTGTATCACGTGAATAATCAGAGAGATTCCGCTATAAAATTGGTAAAAACTGAGAGAGGAGTTGAGGAGACAACCTTCTCATCAGCTGATCCACTGCCTTCTCCAAAAGAAAGGTTAATGATATTAATTAATTTTATTTATTTTTAACTTTGATTCACTGTTATTTATGTTAAAAATTCACTAGCTTTTCCAGATTTCTATACACAATTAGTGTTACCCAAATGCGAGACCAAGAGGAGTCTTGGTCTTGCAAACTCAGTCTTGGTCATGGTCTTGGTCTTGCGCAAGACTCTCCCAACAGTCTTGCAGTTACTTATTAGCTTATCATTATAGAGATATTACTGTAATTCTTTAGATAGCAGATACCTAAGCCCGAATGAAAAGTTAGAAGAGTTAAATGTAAAAGTATATTGATTATACCAATTATTAAAATATAGTAACTAAAATTGTCGAATATTAGTAACTATTTTGCCATAATTTATATTAATTTTTTTTTTTT